TGAGTTCTCCCACACCCACACACACACACACACACACAACCCCAATACCATGGTGCTAAAAGAAGCTCACTGCTAACGGCACCATGCTGCTAAAAGAAGCTCACTGCTAATGGTACCATGGTGCTAACGGGACCACATTGTTAATGGAACCTCACTGCCAATAGAACCACTCTGCTAATAGGACCATGCTGCTGTAGATGTATTTCTTTTTCACTTTTGGCACCTTGTTTTTATTGCATGCTTTGGTTTTTCGTTTTCTTTTTGGTGGTGGTGGTGGGGGGGGGGGGGGTTGAGACGTTCTTCTCGTTCTAAGACTTGTTGACTTTGTGTTGATCTACATATGACAATTAAACCAAACCTAACATCACAGTGTCCAATCAGCACTCGGTGCAGACTGGACACTGTGTGTATGAGTCGATATATGCTCTTTTCCATATATCGACACATACACATGATCAGGCTATTAAAGGACGGTTTTTGTTTGTATATGCAGGAACATATTAAGATAACCTTTAAGGTAATTCTTAAATAAAGCATTTCAGCTACATACAGGGGAAATGATAATTAGATGACCTTTGGGGTCATTCCCATGACCTTTAAGGTCATTTTGATCAACACCTGTCAAATATGAGTTTGATGAAAGGTAGTGTATTATTTTTCTAAAATGTATGCTAATAACTGCTGAATATTTCTCCGAACACCTTCAGTTGTTTTACAACATTTTTTTCTCAGACAGATTGAGACAAAGCGTTGCAACAGTGCAACACATGATTGATTAAAGTGTGTGAAACTTTGCTATTAGAGCCTTTAAAAACATCACCAGCCATTAAATGTGCCTAATTTGGACTCTTAAAATGCAAAACCACATGATTTTTAGATAAAGTCCAGAAAATGAAACAATAGAGAAGTGTTGCCAGACTAGTAAGAATGTTTCTCCAATCTGCAAGGCTTGAATAATTACAAAACAAGACCCATGTGTTTTATGAGAACAAATCTGTGTTAAAGTGTGGCTGTTATCATTTATTAACTTGATGAACTAACTCTTTCCACACCTACGATATTTTAAAGTGTGGTGGGGAGGGGCTTCACACCGACTGGCTTTATTTCCTGGCAAAAACATGAATGAAACAACCTGAAACAGTCCAGCATCAATTTTAGGTAGAAGAAAACGACCTTCACTTTTTTTTGTCCACTCCATGTTTATTCAACTGAGCAACTACTGCCCTGAGGATATGTGCCTTTAATTGTCCAAATTAAAAGTCAGCATGTAAAGAGTAGTATTTTTTATTATTCACCTGACGTTAGTTCTAAATTAGGCCTTGCAGTTTCAGTCATGCCTCATTTCGCTCCAACAACTCAAAGTTTTAGACATTGTTATGGGGTGGTTGATGGAGTCTGCAGTTGCGGTGAAATAGATGCTTTAAATATAAAAGTTTCTTGTATGGTGTAAAAAATGCATAGGCGAGCAGATTCAAATCTCTTTACACAACTAAAGGTCACAGAAAAATGTGCTTTTTCAAAAAATGTGGACTTTAATTATAAGGAATATTTAAAACGATAAGCTTTAAATACATGAAACAACGAGCAGCAGTATCATTTTTTTTGTGTGTGGAGTCTTGTGCATGTGATGATAACAGCAGAACAATACAAAGTTAGTGTTAGATTCCCAGCAGGCTGTTCTCAGTGAATCTTTGAGGCAGACGTCTGACAAAGTGTATGAAGTTCTTCCACACATTATTAATCGAACTCCAAATTCAGAGCAGCAAACAGGCACTGTTTCTGTATCGTACACACACAGAAACTGAACTTGTTTAAAAACTGTTTTCGCAGCTTCACATAGCGCAAACATCTGACATGCTGGTTGGCACCTTGTGTATTTGAGCTTTGGCCTCTTTCAGGAAACATCTGGATGTGTGACTCAGATTCAACTGAGGAACAAAACTGAATAATCTTCTGCAAATGAAACACACACAAAAAAATCTCTCACTAAGAGATTCTTATTAAGAAAACAACAAAAAAAGTGTTGTCTATGTGGCTTTGCAGTTAGAAATGATGCACGCACAATTACACATGTTCTGGAGCAGACGAATAAAGTTGTGAAAATTTAAAAACAAAACTTCTGCCTTGTTGAAATTAAAATGAATGATTTATCATGTATAGGTTTAATCCAGTGCAAATATAATCATCAGACCAAAGCAGAAAGGAAGTAGTGATGCACGTTGAAGAAAGCATACAGCACGACATTCAGTTCAGATTCACTGCATCTGTTGTCCTGACTAAACACAATAGTCTATAATAATTCATGAAACAACATTCATACATTTACCCTTTATATTATTTTATTTTACAACTCTTTCAAAAAGCATAAAAACCTCCAAAACACCAGCAGCAACTGGACAACTGTCAGTTACGTGGCTTACATACAGATCTACATGTGAACCATTATACCTCTGAGTAACCCGAGTCCCATGCTGTCTTCAGCAACAACATATTCACAGTTGATGTGGGTCTTAGTTATTCAGGTTAATGCGTTTGCCTGTGGGGGCATATTTTCATTTTGAGTCCACACACACACACATACACACACCTTTTTCCAAACTGCTGAGCTGTTACTGTTCACTCACACTGATGTCTTTGGTGCAAATGTGGCCACACTGCTGGAAAAATCTGATGATCATCAAAATCACATGTCATAGTGTTGTAACCATTGTCAGAGTCCTGATTAAAGCATATTTTATACAGTACAAAGCATTAATATAATCTTTATCTTTTGCTGGGTTAGATCAAAATGATTGGAAATGCACATATATGTATGTCTTAATCTGATCAGATCTAATAATGTTTCTTAAAATATTTATCATTAAAATAATCGGGGAGCTCCTCTGTGGCAAAGTAAGTGTTCAAATCTCTTTAAGTGAAATTATGTGGAAAAGTTCTGATCAATGAATGTATGTCTTACGTGCTGTAAATGTGTCTTGGAATGGCCTGAGTTTGGAGAAATAGAGTATAATTATACAACAGCTAGTCTAAGCAGGGCCAAACTTTAATAATAATAATAGTAATAATATTAATAATGTATATGTGTTGTCATCATTGTATGTTCCCATACAATGGTGAAATTGGCTCTCTGCATTTAACCCATCCACCCACGGGTGGGGCGGTGGGCGACTATTGGGGGCGCCCAGGGGGGCAATTGGGGATGGGGTGTCCTGCTCAGAGACACCATGATATGTGCAATGCCTGGGGATCGAGCCTGGAACTTTCGGGTCCCAAGTCGGCTGCCCTGCCTCTACCACATCTCGGCCCTCTTATTGCTACAAATTTATTGTTTTCATAAGGCAGCCACAAACCACTTTAGTCTTAAGCCCACTCTGATTAGCTGGATGTTGAACTGGATCAAAAAAGCATTAGCATGGCTGATAATTTTATCTAAAAACCTGATCTATGCCTGGAAACCAATGCATTTAATTGGCAAAAGCATGGGTGATTAACTGGAACCAACTATATATTTTTTACATAATTACCACCAGAGTTAAGTTAAGCTGCAGCTTGCTAAGGGACATTCAATCATATTAAAGATTGTTTTCTCATAAGGGAAAATAAAATAGCTCTCAGTTACGTGATGGTGGGTTGGGTACCTGCAGGTGAGCGTTTCATGGTAGGGTTTGATGCTGCAGCTGCGGTCCCTTCTAACAGGCCCGGGCTCGATAGTGGGCAGTCCTGTGGCGGAAGTGGTGGTCGTCCACGTGGAAGAAATCCTTCTCAGAGGATGAAGGCTCCGCCTCAGACGCTGCAACCACACAAACATTCAAATAGCCGGCAGAAATATGGTTAACAGCTAAATATGCAGCTAAAAATACAGTTAAGGACTATCCCATAATTTGATTAATCAAATCTAGAGCCGTGCAGAGTGTAACAGTGATTGCTGATATATTTAGTTAAAAGTTGCAAAAGTTATTTCCCTTGTGTATTTGTGTGTATGTGTGTGTGCGTTTGTGTTTAGTCTCTAGACAAATGAACCAACTAAGGGTGACTTATTTGTGATGGATTTGGCAAAGCTGAAACAAATGAAGCCGGTGAAAATCTAGAACTTGTTTTAGGAGTTGAATCAATGGTGTGTGTGTGTTTTCTCCCCACTGGATCTAAAAACAACTTTGACCATTAAGGAACAGATAATATTTGCTGGAAATTGTACAAATAATACTCTTCCTGGTGCATTGGTAGAAGAGGTGGCAGTGTTGCATTGCACCCAAATTAATTTCATCATATGGATTGCACCTATCTGCTTCTCACTCTTCCTGTACATTTCCTTAGTGTCTTTTACTCTGTTTCAGTATCTGTCTTGCCCTTTCCTTGGATTCCCAGTGGTACAGTGCTTTTGGGTCGCCTCCGTCTGTTTGGTGCCATGCATCAGTCTGGCACAGCAGCACTGAACACAGCTGGCTCTCTCCTCTGCAGGATGACCTACTAAAGTCAGCCTCAGAATCCTGAATGAACCCATTCACAATGTTGCATCACTTACAGAGAGCCTGCAAACAAACACATTCAGAAACAAGGTGTGTGCTTATGTCATTTTAGGCTACAGTCGCTGAGTTAGGCTCATCTGGAAGGTTCCTCATAGCTTTTTTTATTTTGCATGCATATACATATACACACATAGAACAACAAAACCACAGAGTTGGATTCAACAAATTTTAAACTTGTGTGTTTTATATGGCAAATTCATATAAATTACAGCATAATGAGCATTTTACATTAGTTTCAAAATTGTACATGCTTTTTATGTTATTTTGTACATTACACTCAGTGGTGAAAGGTCTGCATTTATATTTACAATTTTTTTTAATTTTGTTTTAAATGGACTGTACTTATATATCACCTTTCTATCTTATGAAGACACTCAAAGTGCTTTACAACACAATCTGTGCCTCATTTACCCATTCATACAGCACTCGACTAGATCTATACAAAGATTAATCAGTGCTTTGTCACAGTCATACACTGATGGGACACACATCAGAGGCAAGGAGGGGTCCAGTGTCTTGCCCAGGGACACTTTAACATGTGACTGTTGGTGGAATCAAACCCTCAACTCTTACAATGGAGGACGACTGCTCTAACCACTCAGCCACAGCCACATTAATGAATATGGACACTGAGCGTTTAGGTCTCATTTGCATCTGGTAGTGGGTCAACAAGTGTATTTAAAATGCATAGAATTATCAAAGTTTAACATTTTTCCCCCTAAAATAGTTACAATTATAAAAACAAATTTTTTTGGTAAAAAGATTTTTCCTAATCATCGATTTTGTTGTTTTCAGATTTAAATAAGTTGTATATAATTGTGATATGAGGATCAATGTGAGAAAAGACTATAAATACAACAAAAAAGGTTGAATCATGTCATCTGGACTTCGTTTTTTTGTTAAAAAGAAACGTTTCGCCCCTCGTCCAAGAGGCTTCATCAGTCTGAGGCCTAGCCATCTGGTATTACCCAGAAGCCACCCTGACTCTTGTGTTTCAAGCCTGCCTCAGATACCCCTGAAGTCTGGCCTTTTCACTAATGGTTTCAAAAACACAAAGTTTGTTTTCTTAGTCATCCAGGTATATAACAACAAAAAAAGGCCAGACTTCAGGGGTATCTGAGGCAGGCTTGAAACACAAGA